TACACCCACCCCCTGCCTTTAGGGTTGGCTTTTCTGCCCCCCCTTTCAACCCCAATTTGTCCATCCTGCCCCCCCCACTTTTGCACTCCTAATGCTGCCACCCCCCCCTTGCACCCCTTTTTTCCCTACCCATCCTCAATTTTCCTTTGACACTTCCTCCTCCTCCTTCCCCTCCTCCTCCCTTTCCAACCTCTCCTTGCTTCTCCTTTCCCATATTTTACTCCCACCCCCTTATTTTGGGGTCCCCCCCTCCCTGTTCCCACCTCAGAGTCAAGTTTCTCCCTTTTCCCTTCTCCCCAAAAACTTTGGTCTGTTCCCAGTTGCAGAGGCTTCCTTCCTTCCCCCCCCCTTAATTGCCCATCACCCTCCCCCATGTATACAAATACATTTTGTATTTGCATTTATTTAATTACGGTTAAATTTATTTGCCACTTGTCTTGTGGTTCGGGCGCGACTGAGCAGGTATTTATGTATTTATTTATGTCTCACCTGTGGCAAACATATCTATCCAATATTCCTTCCTCCTCTTTTCCTCCCAACGACAACCCTGTGAGGCAGGTTGGGCTGAGAGAGAGAGGGGGGGGGGCTGGCCCAAAGTCACCCAGCTGGCTTTTACGCCTAAAGCAGGACTGGAACTCGCTGTCTCCCAGTTTCTTGCGTAGTGCATTATATTCTCCCTCTTTCCCACCCTTTCTATTTTTTGCATAGGCATTCTAATTTTTGTTCCCTCCAAGCTCAGGATAGTATTATTGTCGCCACCCCCAAATCCTTTGCCCCCCCAATGCATTTTGCTTTGATGCTCGCTGTCACCCGCCTGTTCCCAAATTTAGCATAGCTGCCCCCTCTTTGCACTCAACTTAATCTCGGTTTCTCTCTTGCTTTGACAAACCTCCTCTTCCTCCGTTTCAGTTTCACACTTAAGCCTCATTGGCAACCCAGAATATTTCCAGCCCACGCTTGGCTCTTTAGGATAAAGTATTATTATTATTAAATTTATTCGCTGCCTATCTCGCCATGGGGTTACTCTAGGAGGTGGCTTGCAACCGTGAACAATAATGTAGAAATAAAAAAGGGAGTTTGAACAACCCAGAAGTAGAATAATAGAACTATAAAACGAATAAGGAAAAAAAAAGAAAACAAAATGCACTGATATGACTAGTAAAAAAAAACAATAAGAAAAAAAAGATAAATGTTTAAACTGGTGAAGAATCTTAAAAAGATTTTTAAACAACTGATTTATTACAGGTAGTTCTCAACTTACAACAGATCCTTTAGTGACCGTTCAAAGTTACAACGGCACAGAACAAAGTGTCGTACGATCGTTTTTCACGCTCACGACCGTTGCAGCATCCCTGTGGTCGCGTGATCAAAATCCGGACGCTTGGCAACTGTCTCATATTTATGACGGTCGTAGTGTCCCGGGATCACGGAATCCCATTTTGTGACCTTCTGACAAACAGTCAATGGGGAAGCCAGATTCACTTAACAACCATGTTACTAACTTAACAGCTGCAGTGATCCACTTAACAACTGTGGCAAGAAAGTTCGTAAAATGGGGCAAAACTCACTTAACAAAATGTCTCGCTTAGCGACAGAAATTTTGGGCTCAATTGTGGTCATAGGTTGAGGACTACCTGAACTGTACAAACAACCCCACTCCATCGGATTCGTTCCAAAGTTTAGGCATTAAATAATTTTGTTAAGAGGTCAAAAGAGTCTTTAAGGGTGTTTTAACAGACTAACTTTAGTAAAAGACGCGGGAGAAAAATTGCTTTCCCGACTGGTTTCGTCCCCAAATCTTAACATTTTGCAAAAGAGAGAGAAAAAAAATGGAGAAGAAAAATAATGTTAAAATATAAATGGATGCAGTCGCAAACTTGAAAATCTGGTATGAAGAGGAAGTGAAAACTACCACTGCAAACTCAAGGTAGCTTTTCATTATAAAATTCCAAACCTTTAACCACAGTCTTCCTGGTGGTTTAGCTATAAAAAATCGTGGGGTTTTTTTTGTTTTTTAATTTTATTTTTTTTAATTTGCTGGGAAAGAGTGGAAGCAGAACTGATCTTTTTTTTCTTAAGGGACATATTCTGTCTATTCCTGGGCACTAATTTATATCATGACGGATTAATCGATTAGGTGGCCATCAAGTTCCTGTGGACTCTTAGAAATCTCCTGGATAGATTTTTTTTTCACCACGACAATCTGTTCTTTCAGGATCATATCATAAATGGCCCGTTGAAAGAATTTTGCTTCACCCAAAGGTGAAAATATTATTCACAGAGCAAGGAGTTAAGACTTTAAGGAGTTAAGACTTTCTATTTTGTAGCTCTTTACATTAAAGCCATTTTTTTTTTAAAGAAATGCTTCCAGTAGCTGTAAGATGGGAGGTTCTGTTTTGTAAAAGTTCTGCAAGAAGAGGAATTTCTCAGCTGTTTGCTGGAGATCAACCTTCACACCATTTCCCTGGCTTTTTGTCCCTACATATTTTGTCTATCTCCTCCTTGTTGATGTTTTCTGGATAGGAAAGGACTATAAGCAACGTTGCTCCAGGGTTGCGAGAGAGGAGGGAGAACGAATAAACAGAGAAAATGATCCTCTCCTTTGGCAAAAACAAGGGATCAAGTTTCTGAACTTCGGCTTGTTTGAAGAAGGATGCGTTTCATTTTTCTAAGCCCCCTCTTTCAACCTCGCCTTATTAGATTCTCGTGATACCTACTCAGAACATTAACTAGATTGGCCAGTTACACTAGGAGACGGTGAGTTCTAGTCCTGCCTTGAGCATGAAAGCCGGCTGGGTGACTTTGGGCCAATCAGCAGGAGACGGTGAGTTCAAGTCCTGATAGAGACTCCTTCGTTGGTTGAAAAAGTTTTATTTTTAATTTATTTTTTCCAGCCCGCTTGCAGAATTTTTCTCCGTAAGTTGTATTCAAAGGTTACATTTCAAGGGGAGATTGTCCCTTGCACAGTCTCTCTCTGTATCTTTAAGGTTGTTGAATGTTCAGTTTATAAACCAGCGGTCGCACTGGGAGTCCCTTTGAACGAGAGCCTGCGAGGGAGCGCGATCAATGTCTCTATACATAAGGAAATATTTTTCGCCCTGCCCTTTTTCTTCTCTCTCTCTCTCTCTCTCTCCAATGTATACAGTCGGATGAATGAACAAGATGCTGTTTTTCTCTCTTCCTTTTTTCCCCCCTATCGTCCCACGACATGGCCTGTTCTGAGATTAAGTTACTGTTAAAATGCTGAACGGCTTCCTTTTGATTAAAGGGGCTCCTTTGTGAAACATCAGGACCCTTTTTTAAAAAAATAAAAATAAAAAATCCCCACACTTTTGGCACGTTTCTGCTCTTGCAACACAGAACACTGATCAAAGTTCATGCGAAGTTTTTGTTCCCTTATCAGGGACTAGTCTGTTGCCCGAAGTAAAACAAGCGCGTTTGCTTTCAGCCAGTGGGTTCATGCGAGGGCTCGAAACAGGAAGCGTTCAAACCTCGGAAAATTGCTGGGCCTCAGAAAAACCCTGAATGTGGAGGATAGATTGATGGGCTGCCTCACGTGTATCCTCTTTTCCTGTTAATGCAATATAGGGTTTCTCGGTCAAAGGAGAACATGATTAAGCAATAACATTAGACATCCATTCCAGCAATGAATTTCGAACTTAAGGAGCTGGTAGGGCTGTAGAGTAAGTACAATTTACAATTTGGTTTAGCGATTAAGGCACCGGGCTAGCAAGTAGGAGACTCTGAGTTCAAGTCCTGCCTTAGCCATGAAAGTTGGCTAGGTGACCGGGAGCCAATCGCCAGGAGACGGTGAGTTCTAGTCCCAAGTTAGTCATGAAAGCCAGAAGATGAGGGTGTAGGAGGCTTTCAAGAAGAGACTGGACAGCCATTTGTCCAGAACGGTATAAAGCCTCCTGCGTGAGCAAGGGGCTGGACTAGAAGACCTCCAAGGTCCCTTCCAACCCTATTCTTTGTTCTGTATTTATTCTGTTGCTGATTAAACAAACCAGCTTGAATGTGTTCCTCACCGGTTAGACAAGGCCCATAGAGAAGGGCCTCCTAATTTTTCTCTCCAAGGTGGAACCCAAGCTGACTTCTTCCCATTTTCCCCTCGGCAGCGAGCTTGGCTGAATTCTTCGGTGGCTGCCCCCTCTTTTGAAGATGGTCAAACTGGACATGCATATTTTGGCCCACCACCTCAAACAGGAGCGGCTCTACGTGAACTCCGAAAAGCAGCTGATCCAGCGGCTGAACGCCGAGGTGCTGAAGACGGCCGAGAAGCTTTACCACACCGCTTGGATCTCCAAGCAGCAGAGGATCAACTTGGACCGCTTGATCATCACAAGGTATCTATCCATCATCCATCCATCATATCCATCTATCCATCATTATTTATCTATCTATTCTAACTATCTATCTATGCATCCATCCATCCATCCATCATATCCATCTATCATATCCATCCATCATATCTATCTATCCATCCATCCATCCATCCATCATATCCATCTATCCTATCTATCCATCCATCCATCCATCCATCCATCCATCCATCCATCCATCCATCTATCTATCTATCTATCTATCTATCTATCTATCTATCATGGTCACTTGACTTCAGGATGCAGCAAACAGGCATAAATGCTGGCCAGTTGCCAACCAAAGGTCACGTGATCATGGGGAATCGGGCAGGGCAGCCTTTGGAACTTCAGAACCGGGTCGAAAGTTCTTCTGGAGAAGCTCGTTGTAACTTTTGAGTGTATTTCTAAGGGGCCGGTCATTGGTGGCCTACTTCCTTCGTGCCTAGGACTTGTAAGGAGATTTCTCCTCCTGCTCTTCCTCTTGTTACAGCGCGGATGCCTCTCCGGCGGAATGTTGCCAGCACGCCAAAGTGTTGGAAGACACGCAGTTTGTGGACGGCTACAAGCAGCTGGGCTTCCAAGAGACGGCCTACGGGGAATTCCTCAACCGGTTGCGCGAGAACCCCCGCCTCATTGCGTCCTGCCTGGTGGCCGGCGAGAAGTTCAACCAGGAGAACATTCAGAACGTCATCCACACGGTCTTCACCTCCATCTACGGCAACTGCATCATGCCGGAAGACGAGAACTTTCTTCTCCAGGTCTTGCGCTACCTGGTCGAGTTTGAGCTGAAGGAGAGCGACAACCCTCGGCGGCTCTTGCGGAGGGGCACCTGCGCCTTCAGCGTCCTCTTCAAGCTCTTCTCCGAGGGCCTCTTCTCCGCCAAGCTCTTCCTGACGGCCACCTTGCACGAGCCCATCATGCAGCTGCTGGTGGAGGACGAGGACCACCTGGAGACCGACCCCCACAAGCTGACCGAGCGCTTCTCGCCCGCCCAGCAGGAGAAGCTCTTTGGGGAAAAGGGCTCCGAGAAGTTCCGGCAGAAGGTTCAGGAGATGGTGGACTCCAACGAGGCCAAGCTGGTGGCCCTGGTCAACAAGTTCATCGGCTACCTCAAGCAGAACACCTACTGCTTCCCGCACAGCTTGCGCTGGATCATGTCCCAGATGTACAAAACGCTCTCCTGCGTGGAGCGGCTGGAGGTGGGGGAAGTGAGGGCCATGTGCACCGACCTGCTCTTGGCCTGCTTCATTTGCCCGGCGGTGGTCAACCCGGAACAGTATGGGATTATTTCGGATGCGCCAATCAACGAAGTGGCAAGGTTTAATCTGATGCAGGTACGGTATCCTTCCCTCTTTCCCTCCCTACCTTCCTAACTCCTCCCTCCCTCCTTCCTTTCCCATCTCCCTCCTTCCTTGATTCCCTCTCTCCCCTCCCTTTTCCTATCTTCCTCCCCTCCCTCCCTCCCTCCCTCCTTCCTTCCTTCCTTCCTTCCTTCCTTCCTTCCTTCCTTCCTTCCTTCCCCATCTCCCTCCTTCCTTGATTCCTTCCCTCCCCTCCCCTCCCTTTTCCCATCT